AAAGAGTCACTGAGGAAGGGGGAAATGGGGCAGAGGGAAGAGAAGTGGATGGGGAAGGTGGATGGGATAGGACAGAGAAGGGAATCCAGGGATGGCAGGAGGAGCAGGAGCCCGCATGTGGCAATTTGGGCTCGCTAAAGGTGCATGATTAAAATAGACCCTGAAGGTAGATAAATCTTTTCCCCTCCCTTCCTTTTATCCCATCCTCTTTGCTCAATCTGTTATTTTTGTGTTTTGGGAAAAATTAATAAAACCTAGATATTAAAAAGTTGATACTTACTACAGGCAGGAAAATCCTCTCTCCAGTCCCGTACAGGATAGCCTGCATGTGAGCATGCTCTAGCATACTCTGTCACTGCTCGGCAGTAAGTTTCATCATCGTTCACTCTGAAGCAGTAAAATAAGCCTGTGATCACTCAATCCTAAATTTAATACTCAGCAAAATCTCTGCTACATGACATTGCAGAACTCTTCACAGAGTTGGCCCGGCACAATTAAAAGGGGCCACAATTTTCGAGATTTTAAATAGCGTTACTTGAAAAAGAAAACTAGAGATATCAACTAAGCTTTGCATTTTGTACCATTTGACCTGACAAAATAGTTTTGCTTTATTTTAATGTTACAACAAAGAATGAGTAACATTTATTACAAAAGATCAGCAACGCTCATTAAAAGAAATAAATTGGGAGAGGAAGGGTGATTTTGTGATGAAGGCAATGGTCTATAATTCTGGAGATCTGGCTTTCTCGTAAACTTCTCATCAGCCCTTAGGGAAAGTCACTTTCTGTCTCACTTCCCTATCTACAAAATGGGGATAATAGCTCCCAATCAAATTGCTCAAAGGATACATTCATTAATATTTGTATTATGCTCAGATATTCCAAGGACAGCAGTCAGAAATAGATTGATTAGATAGTCACTGTTTTATTTAAAAGTGAGAAGATAACCGTGAAGGATTTTGTGTCAAAACAGACTAACCACAACAAGACATCTATGGAATAAGCAAGGTTATAATACACAGTTTGGAGTTTGTTTTTCATCACAACAAGGCCAAACTTCCAAAAAAATTGTAAGACTATGATAGTGTGTGCTCCAGTGCCTTCAAAACACCTGTTACAAACTCACCATTTCAAAACTCCATAGTGATCAGTCTCTCTTTCTAGCCTGCCTCATCTAATCCAATTAAATGAGTCTTAATGGAAAGAATGACTTGGCATATAAACTATGGCACCAGAAGGAACTTCTTAAACTGACACTAAGCCACAAGATGAGAGTTCTCTTTTATAAACAACCTAAGCCTAAATTAATGAGATCCTGGGACACAGAAACTTCACTCAAATTTCTAAATATTCACACCATTCACATCACACATGTGAATGAATTTTTAAAAATAAAAAATCAAAGCCCCCTGCATATTGCCTTATTAACTCAATGCCATCCTGAAAGTTTGCTTTCCATTGCAAAAGAGAAGGTGCAATTAGTCACTGAGATGTAAACAGGCATTATAAAAAAAATGTAGATCCTGCCTGACTTCTGTGCCCATTGAAGTCAACAGGAGGTTTTCCACTGGTTTCAGTGAAAACATTTTTAGCTACAAGGTCATTTCCCTGCCACTGGGGGGAAGGGCTCAGGCACTCATGCACCATGCTACTTCATATCATCTGTCTGTAAATGATAATAATCTAGTCTCTTGTGGTTACTTCAATCTAATTTCAGTTGGGTTTAGTGTGCAGGTATTTAGGGACCAGTGCTCTCCAGGTAGTCAGATTAAATGATCTAATTGTGCTTTTAGCTTTAATCTCATTGATTGTAATAAACCTGTATCTTGCCATCTACACTGTAAAGCAAAAGAGAGAATCAAAAAACAGTCATGTATTAGTCAGTGTTAGTCATATATTGTGACAGGAAGTATAATGGAAGCAAGGATTCCTTCAATTCATTGCACTGGACGCCTTCTGTGCCCCCATTTAAATAAATAAATGGCAAAGCAGAAAATAAATAACTGATGACACACACTCTGGCAAAGTAGTCAAAGATATAAACAAATAACAAATAGTGATGTCACTAATGTTATTTACTATGATATCATTCTTATTGAGAGACCCACAGTATGTTGCTAGGTCAGTTATTCAATTTCAACACACATGAGGGAATAATCACTTCTCATTTAAATGATCTCACAAGGTCTAACAGAAACCAGCACTGTTGGAAATGCAGATGATGCTAGTAAACAAGTCTGGAATGGGGGGAAGGAGGAAGAGAGCACAGTAAAGGAAATTCTGAATAATAAGGGAGATATAATGGATTGCATTTATCCCTAGCATTAATCCCTAGCATTAGATGGTGAAACTCTCATTGTTTCCTATGAAAGTTGCAACATCTTCTGACAGGTTTGAATTCCACCCCCTATTTATTAAAATTATAAAGGCTACTGAGATTAAACAGAGGGACACTGGGAGATGAGACTGGTCAATGTGGGGAGGAAAGTGTTTTACTGAAATAAAATTGTAATGAAAACCTCCACTCTCTAAAACCAGTCTGGGGATTGTGTAATATTCTAAAGAATGAAAATGAATGCTTAAAGAAAACATCCTTCTTACCTGCAAAGGTCATTCATGCAGCTAGAAATATACGAATACGGATCTATGCTTTCATGGCAGCTGAGGAAGGGAAACTGTAGGAGTATTTGGCATTTGAAGAATATGGCCTGTGCATTTTTAAAAAAATCAGTTATCTAGCAGTTATCAGTTACTTCATGATAGAAACATTATTCTTTTTACTTTTGGGTCCCAAGTTGGGTGTCTGTTACATCCCTTTTAGAACCAGAAGATTCCCCCATTTTCTCCTATCTCCACTCTTTGGCCCATTTTATGACAATCACTGTTCTTTCCACCTCAGTTTTCTTTTGACTGGACTGAATTTATTCTATAGTACTACAGCTCAACAGGCCAAAGTAGCAAAAAGAATCCTCTTCCAGCCCCGAGTTGATCATGTTTCCTCTTTCTACTTTAAACTCCTCAGCTAACGAATGCACAAGGGATCAGGACTGGGAATTAAACCCACAGTCCAATGTGACAGTGAATAACACTAAATAGGCCAGCTCACAGATCCATGAGATCCACTGTTCTTTACATTTTATCATATACAGTTCTTCAAAATCCTTATGAAAAGTCTGTACATTATTAATGGGCTTGATCGGAATCTTCTCTTTCCCAATATTTCAATGTTTAGAGACACTGCTTTGCTTTGGACCAATCTTTTCTCTACATGTTTGGCATACACGTTATATTTTTTCTGGTTCTAATCTTATTTATGCTGTTCCCCCTCAGTTTCTCTAAAACTGGTGTAGTTCCACTGACAACAGCTGAGTTCATCCTGATCTTCACCAGTGTGAGATCAGTATCACTCCTTTTGTGTAAAACCCTTTGGGAGTCTAAAGAGTCTTATGTATTATCAATAAAGAACATGCAGATGACTATATTTCATTTCTTTTGAACCTATATAGCTGGTTAGAAAATATGATTTATTCAACTGATGCCACACAATTTGCATTTTAAAGTGCTATCTCATTTTAAATTAATCATTTAAGATTTTTTCATTTGTGTTGAATTTTATATGTCTGTGCAGAGCCATAAGTGCTTTGGTTTGGAAATGGCTGGACACTTTATTATAAAATTATTGTTAATGGAAGTACATAAAATGGGCTAGAGAATGTGAATCATTATAATGTACCCAATATGAAAATATACATTGATCAACTTACCTCAGAGGACTCTGTGTCAGTTGAACATGGACTAGAAAAATCTGAGACAGTAGTCACACAAATTGCATCACTTGGAGTTTGTACAGACCAGCTGTTTGCAAATACAGCAATGTCTTCTGTATATTCACCTACTTCAGAAAAACATTGAACAGAATCAATCTCCACAAAAAAATGGGTTTTTCTGTCAACACAAGAGCTAAGGAATACCGCATACAAAGGAATCCAAAAGGAATCCAATGCATCAGGGAAGGGCAGACAAATAAGCAGTGGCAAATTTTTAAAGTGCTTGTACACAAATGCTAGGAGTCTGACTAATAAGATGGGTGAACTAGAGTACCTCATATTAAATGAGGAGATTGACATAATAGGCATCACTGAAACCTGGTGGAATGAGGAAAATCTGTGGGACACAATCATACCGGGATATAAAATATATAGAAAGGATAGAGCAGGCCGGGTGGGTGGCGGAGTGGCACTGTATGTGAAAGATAATGTAGAATCAAATGAAATAAAAATATTAAGTGAATCAACATGTTCCATAGAATCGCTATGGATAATAATTCCATGCTCCAATAATAAGAAATTAGCAGTAGGGATATATTACCGACCACCTGACCAGGACAGCGATACTGACATAGAAATGCTGAGGGAGATTAGAGAGGCTACAAAAATAAAGAACTCTATGATAATGGGGGATTTTAATTACCCCCATATTGACTGGATACATGTCACCTCAGGAAGAGAACCAGAGATAAAATTTCTCAATGGCTTAAATGACTGCTTCTTGGAGCAGCTAGTGCAGGAACCCACAAGGGGAGAGGCAATTCTCGATTTAGTCCTGAGTGGAGTGCAGGATCAGGTACAGGATATAACCGTTTCAGGACCGCTTGGGAATAGTGACCATAATATAATAACATTCAACATTCCTGTGGTGGGAAGAACACCACAGCAGTCCAGCACCCTGGCATTTAATTTCAAAAAGGGGAATTACACAAAAATGAGGAGGTTTGTTAAACAGAAATTAAAAGGCACAGTGACTAGAGCCAAATCCCTGAAAGCTGCATGGAAACTTTTTAAAGACACCATAATAGAGACCCAACTTAAATGTATACCCCAAATTAAAAAACATAGCAAGAGACCTAAAAAAGAGTCACCGTGGCTTAACCACCATGTAAAAGAAACAGTGAGGGACAAAAAGGTATCTTTTAAGAAGTGGAAGTCCAATCCTAGTGAGATAAATAGAAAGGAACATAAACACTGTCAAATCAAGTGTAAACATGTAATAAGAAAAGCAAAAAAAGATTTTGAGGAACAGCTAGCCAAAAACTCAAAAAGAAATAAAATGTTTTTTATCCTAGTGAGATAAATAGAAAGGAACATAATCACTGTCAAATCAAGTGTAAACATGTAATAAGAAAAGCAAAAAAAGATTTTGAGGAACAGCTAGCCAAAAACTCAAAAAGAAATAACAAAATGTTTTTTAAGTACATTAGAAGCAGGAAGCCTGCTAAAAA